AGGCAACGGAAAAGACCATAGCTTGGGGTCAGGCGCACCTGGGTCTTCAAGATGCCATCTTGCCGTGGTAATACTTTGAATAGGTCTAGTGCCACTGATTTCTCACAAGACACGAACTTTCTACGGGAGTAGAAAGCACCGTCTTTCTCCCGAGGAGTGGACCGCAGCAAGGGAACCACAGGTAACCACTACGTCACCAGGGCTCCTGTCGTCCCAGTAGCTCAGTTGAACTTGTTGGAGAATCACCCAGTCACAGCAGCTGCGCCATGTTCCACTCCGACCAGTCACAGAAAATGGTCCAGTTTTTTTGGACATCCTTGCCAACACTTGTTACTGTCTTCTAGGTTAGCCATCTTCGTGGCGATGTAGTGATAGAGTTGCGTGCGTACGTGGACACCAAGGGCCTAGAAGGAGGCACATCCCAGTGGAATCACAGACACCGCACGTCAGTCCAGAGCTTGGTTCCTCACACGGTTCTCCTTGAAGACGCGGCCGACCCCATCACTGCCGGCACGAGGGACATGCAAGATGAGCCAGGGACAAAGCGTAACCCCAGGAAAGGAGAGCGTGTCCTTTTAAAACAACGAATCCTGTGGGCATGTCACAACGACATGGCTGCCAATCTGAAAGAGCTCCCCAAATGTCCAAATCTGGAACCATCTGTGCATCCAAATGAACATGCCAGTGTTCGAGAAGAACAACAACAACACATTAAAGAAGAGAAACATCAGTGAATCCACACGTGTATAAATAGATGGTGAAATGAGTCACGGGGCAAAGGGATGAATTTGCCTCACAGTAGATGGTATTTTTCACTGTAGACGAGACTTCTTCCGACGAGAGGTATCCCGACAGCCACCTCCCCCTCCCACTTGAGTGGAGGCTGCTCTCCTTGGCTGACTTCTAAGGGAGAGACCAAAAGCCCAACCTCCTGCCGACTCACAGCGCCCCCACGGGGCGGGCCCGGAACGGCTCCTGTGTGTTTCTGAGACTAACTCTATAGGGAGGAGAAAACCCGGCCTTTCTTCCGCAGAGCCTCGGCTGGTTTCGAACTGCCAACCTTATGGTGAGCAGCCCAGCAAGTACGGGAAGGGAGAAATAGCACTGCAGTGGGGAAGGCTGGTAGGCGGCTGCTCACCAAATGGTCAGGGTTGACACCACTGGTGATGAGCAGGCCCGGGGAGCTGCCGTCTCCGCTGGGGGCACAAAGGGAGGAGAAAGGGCCACCATCTCTGAGGTCCTCTTCACAGACTGGCAGAAGCCCAGGCTCATCCCAAGACACCCTCAACCACACCCAGGCTGA